CAGAGTCAATGCTGATACTGATTATTGGTCGTCTTTTGTGCCGATTGCTGAAAACCGGTGCCAATATTCTGTACATTTAAAATTTTAAAAAAGCAACTTGATTTCTACACAAACTTGACATGACAGCAATCACACTCCTAGGCAGCCAGTACATGCCAGTATCTATGTGATACCAGCATGTACAGTGCCATTACTGATAGGAGTGTGATTGCGGACAGCTTTCTTATTGTAATATAAGTTTTAAACCTCCCTTATAGTAATATGGGGATCCTATTGACTCCCATAGTGTTTTTTTTTTTTTAAACTATTTAATGTGGCGGCAGGCTAGCAAGCTGCCACATAATTAACCCTTGCACCACCAACCGTTTTTAACTCCTTGTCCACTGGCTGCTAGCGCTACCAGTGAGCACTAGTTTGGATTTTTTCAAAAAAATCCGGCCTTGGATATGAAGCATCTGAGTCCAGATTTAAAGCATTTGGGCCTGACTTACAGAATCCGGACATTGTTAGTGTGAACAATGCCCAGATTTTACAGTCTGAATGGCTTCGTATGCAGCTGGATTCAGTATGAGGCTATTCAGACTTTAGTGAAAACAAATTTCTGTTTTCGATAATTGCATATTAAGGGCTGTTACGTGCAATAATCAGCTATTAAAAACTGGAGTAGAATACACCATTGGACTAAAGTTCTGCTTCTTATCTATAAAAAACAATCCTTTTTACATTGCGACATTTGTGACCTATATTTCCCACAATTCTCATTTACCCAAAGTGTTGTGTGATTTTCATAGGAAACATTAAGAAAAAACTGAAATGCTATAGACCATGTTTTAGAGCTGCTGCTAAAGATGAGGTAATATCTATTTTTAGAGTTAACAAATCTCCCCACCTTTTCTCCATTCAGATGTGTTTAGTTGCTCTCGTTACTTATTATCTTGGTATCAGTAGAGAATGTTACTCGGAAATGAAAGACAAAAACATACTACAATTTATCTAGCGAGTTAACAAAAATACAAGCAAACATATTCATGGTGCTCTTTATGTAAAATGATTGCATTTTGTAAAAGATGTTACAATTTCCTTGATATTATTACTGATGTTTTTGGTGACTCTGTGCAATTTTAGGAATTGAAACACCCACCTCTATCACCATATGGTGTATCGTTGTTGGTGATAAATTGTCCTGTCAGTGGGTGTGAACCATATTTGCATGCATATGTGTTGAGAGCAGGGAAATAATTAAGGTAGTCTAGTCAGAGCGTGTATATTCATTTTTTTATTCACAAGTGTCTCTTTTCTTGTCAGACACAGGGTTCTTCTTCCGTTCAGCAATTTGAATCTTTCAAGTCCCATCCATCTGTTGTAGTTAATATATTTTTTTCAAGTTTTTCATATTCAGCAATTCAACATTTGTCTTCCCTGGCATGACACTAAGGAATTACCTTTATGAGTTCACTTGAAGGAAAATAATTAGAGTTTGTCACTTTTTTTAATAATACATAGATAAGGGAAGATATTCTAAAAACAATATATTATACTCCGTAAATATAATTCATATTCCATTAAATAATTCTAAGCAAGCATTTATTTTAAAAGTAGGACATTTTCCATAATATTACCATATTTAGTACGACTAAGCTCTCTTCCTTTCACTATGGGTTTTTATTTCAAGGTTAAGCATATCAACCCAGGAAAATCGGGCTATTCCAGGCTCAGTTCAGCAGATTATATGACACTCATTATCACAAAAGTCAAACCCTCCTTCCTCCATAGCTGTATTAGTTGTGGTCTCCACTGTAAGTGCATGATGTTGAAGCTGTGTGCTGTGGAGGAATTCATGTGGCCAGGGCCGCCACCAGAAATTTTGGGACCCCTAACTGAGTTCAGGGTCAGGGCCCCCGGGGGCCCGCCTCCAAGACCACCCACAAGGACTGCCTCCAAATCCCGCCCACAGGAATACACACACAGACACAAACACATTCACTGATACAAAAGGACACAGATATACACACACACACCCACACACATACATACTAACAGACACACATACTGATAGGCATATAGGCATACATACTGACACACACATACTGAGACATACACACATATACAGACACACAGGCGTACATAGTGACCAACAGACACATACTAACATACATACAGACACACATGCATAAGGACATACAGACACAGACACATTCATAATGACATACAGACAGACATACATACATTCATACTGGCATACAAACACTGACATCTATACATACGTACACAGACATACATTCATAATGACATACAGACATACATTCATACTGGCATGCATACATTCATACAGACAGACATACATGCATACAGACACTGACATCCATACATACATACACACATTCATAATGACATGCAGACATACATACACTGACATTCATACACACATAATGACATACATACATACAGACAGACATACATAGACACAGACATACATGCATACAGACATACATACATACATACAGACATGCATACATACAAACATGCATATAAACAGACATGCATACAGACATACATACATACAGACAAACATACAGACAGACATACAGACATGCATACAGACAGACAGACATACAGACAGACATACAGACATACTGACAGACAGGCATTCATACAGACAGGCAGACATGCATACAGACAGACATACATACATACAAACAGACAGACATACATACAGACAGACAGACATACAGACAGACAGACATGCATACATACAGACATGCACACATACAGACAGACAGACAGACAGACATATACAGACAGACATGCATACATACAGACAGACATACAGACATGCATACAGACAGGCATACATACAGACAGACAGACATGCATACAGACAGACATGCATACAGACAGACAGACATATACAGACAGGCATACATACAGACATGCATACAGACAGGCATACATACAGACAGACATGCATGCATACAGACAGACATGCATAAATACAGACGGACAGACAGTGGGGTCCGTGCAGCCGGGCCCCCCAGGGCCGCCGGGCCCTTGACAACCGTTATGTTTGTCACCCCCTGATGGCGGCCCTGCATGTGGCTTATAACTAATGACTTCCCATTCAAATAAAGAGGCCAAATATAAGGTCACCCTAAGGTGGACACAGAGCTCTTTTATGCTGCTGCTAGTGAAGTTTTGAGATGGTGGGCCACCAGATTCCACCATTAGAATTTGACTCTGTCCCTAAACTCTTTAACTACCATCTTCTGACTTGGTGATCTCTGTCCACTTAAATCCCATGTACTAAATTACTAATAGTAATTACTGTAGAGAGATGCCTATAAAATACACGAAGCTGGGCATAATATGGAAATTTCTGTACAGTAAAAAAAGCTGGGCACAATTTTAAGATATTATAATATATGATAAAATATGACTTTATTTTTAAATGAGATAAAAATAGAAAGGTATATAATTTAACCCATTATATAACATGTAAGGAATATCAGTCGCACTGACATTATTAGTCTACATGATCCACAACACCTTTTAACATGCAGAAAAAAGTTACAGTTTATAAAGTATTAAGGAGAGGAATATTCTAACATTATAAATTAACACATTTATTTATAACATGAGTGTGCCTTTAAATGAACACTATAGTACTGGGAATACAAACATGCATTTCTAACGCTGCAGAGTTCCCCAATCTATGCCCATCTGCGGTGCTGAAGCTCCGCCTACCTGGTGTCAGTCAAGCTCTATAATCTCAGCCAATCCAATGATTTCCCACAGGATAGGCCTCATGAGCTGCAAAATGTCAAACTGTGCTAATCAAATCTTCTCAAATGCATTTCTTTATTGTATACAGTTTTCTGTATCCCTGGCTCTCTGTATGTTGTATAGACATCTCTTTATTGTGCTGTTTGTTAGCTCACTCAGAGTCACAGCGCCAGTATGCGCTATGGAGCAGATCAGCTCACTGAGTTACAGCCTCAACCTGCAGTATGGAGCTCTCTGGCAGCAGGCTTTGAAACTTTTTTTATTATCCATGTCCAGGATGAGTGTCTTGGTGACAGAACCCAATACTGAGCTGTCTAACGAAGACACTGGGCAGACGAGTTTACACTATGCAAAGTGCAATAGAAGCTATTAAGATTATTAATGGCAGGCAGTACTGTCCTGAATGTCACAATTTTTTTGCCAGATTCCTTCCCCTTCCTTATCCTTTTTTTCCAAAAATTAATTTATAAAATGGCTGGTTTAATCAGACCTCAGTCACACTGACTGAGGCTACTGAGGGAGAGAAAAGGAGAACACAATTACTTTCCACAGGGACCCAGAGCTGCTGCAGTTTCAATCTCTTCCTCTCTCAAGTCCTAGCAAGATAGCTTCTTGCCTCTGTCTTGTGTGAGTTGTTAGTCCTGTCCCCTGGTGCTATAAGCCAGTGAGGAGCCTAGAAGCATTAACATGTCTCTGTACAGTGACCACTGGATCTGAAACCTAAGTGCTGCTGAATTTGAGGCCTCTAAAATCCATTCTTAAAGGAGACTAAGCATGTGCAAAATCTACTAAAACAGCACAGATTCCACAAATTGTCCTGTTTTTGACAGACTGAACAAAGATTTTTGAGAAAACCACAAAATGGGAGGATGGCACCTGCAGAATTGTAACTATCACAGACATACAAAGCCATTATTTTTATTTATTTTTGTAACATAGGCAATACCTTGTGTATGTTTAAAAACTAAAACAAAGACATTTCAATTAAAACCTCCCATCAGTATAATGATGCTGAATGTACCCAGTGCTTCTCGTAGAGAAAAAATGTATTCAGTGCTTTTCTGTCAGACGCATTGGATTGGACAAGAGTCATCAGAATTAGGACCTAACTGGAGGCAGAACAGCTACAGCAAGGAGACTATCCCGGCACTGGATTACAAGTATGCTTTACAGCCTTTTTATTCTTACTTTAAAAAAAAAAATGAAAATAACAATCTAAACCAGGGTTTTCCAAACTCTGGCACTCCAGATGCTGCTGAACCACAACTCCCATGATTCTCTGCCTATCTGTTTCATTCAAGGAATCATGGAAGTTGTAGTTCAGCAACATCTGGAGGGCCAGAGTTTGGAGAACCCCGATCGAAACAAACAAACAAAATGTAAAAAAAATAAAAATAAATAAAATGAATTTTACACAATATATCTATATTTGGTTTATACACTAAACCGGGATTTGAAGTGAAGTGGTCTGGGTGCCAGGTCCAGCTAGGGTTAACCCTTTTTTCTATAAACATAGCAGTTTCAGAGAAACTGCTATGTTTATATTAGGGTTAATCCAGCCTCTAGTGGCTGTCTCATTGACAGCCGCTAGAGGCACTTGCGTGCTTCTCACTGTAATTTTCACAGTGAGAAGACGCCAGTGTCCATAGGAAAGCATTGTGAATGCTTTCCTATGAAACTGGCTGAATGCGCGCACGGCTCTTGCCGCGCATGCGCATTCAGCCGAGGAGGAGTAGAGGAGGCGGCGAGGAGGAGGAGAGCTCCCTGCCCGGCGCTGGAGAAAGAGGTAAGTTTAACCCCTTCCTCACCCTAGAGCCCGGCGGGAGGGGGACCCTGAGAGTGGGGCACCCTCAGGGCACTATAGTGCCAGGAAAACGAGTATGTTTTCCTGGCACTATAGTGGTCCTTTAACAGATATACAACTAAACTTTAAGTTGTCAATTCACTGGTGTATTGCAAATTTCATATGCATAGATGTGTTTATAATTAAGTGTTGCAAAAATGCATGTAATAATATCTGTACAACTATTTCCTAAGCATTAAAACCTTACCTTTCATTAGTTGCAGAACTACCTCTGCACTTAAAGAAGATCCACTTTATTAGTGCTTGGCATTGTCCAATCAAATGCATCTAATAAAAAATCAATGAGGACAAAGTTCCAGTCCAAAACTTTTCATAGAGATGTTGTTTTATACAAGTACGAATTATTGCACTTGTTAAACTCGCACACGATAAAAGATAACTTGTCTGGTTACAAATACTTGTCTGTTGGTTGTATCTATTGTACACTGCTGCGAAATTTGTTGACGCTTCATAAATAATAATAAAAGCATACTTTCTACCTCTGCAGTCTGAACACTTTTGTATAGGCTTTGCAGAAGTAATGAAGTAACTTGTATAAAAAACGAAATGCCCTTGAATGCCACATGACTAGTTGGGCTGTCAAATGCCTAGTGGTAGTTTATGTTCTTCATGGGAATTGCATGGTCGCATTTACTGCACTGACACAATTTATGTCAAGATGTTTGATTACACAATTTAAACCATTATGAGGGTGTGATCCAACGCTACACTCATCATTGTGTACTGAACCCCAGGTAATTGACTGTACATTTCCTGCAAAACATTTAATATTTTACATTTAATGTTGTAAAATTATAGACAACGCACATCTATAGATAGATACATACATACATTCAAAAATAAGAAAAAAAAATGTCACTTAACTTTAGATCACACTTGGTAAAATTTACGTTTAAAAATCTAAAAAAAAAACCTGCAGGGAATTGTCCAGACAAATGCTGCTCAGAAAATTGAAATAAAGACGAATTTCCAGACAAAAGCTTCTCATGGAGATAGGAGCTTTACTGAAATTTAGCTTTTTGTATAGGACTATATCAGTTTGAGTGCTGTTTTCCAAGTATTCATTTTCATTTGTTTGTTAAAATTGTGACATGCTATTTAAAGCTATTGTAGACTAAAATTAATTTCATCGAGCATGAATTGTAGTCCATCAGGGGAAAATAACTTCTTACATTTACCTAGATGGGACATTCATTCTCAGACTCCAAGAGTGTTTATTTTATTTTTTTAAATATCTGAACTTTGCACCTACGGAGGTGAAAGGTCAAATACTATAATAAATGTATGTTATTTCTTTGTCAGGAAATTAGTGAGTTAAAGTTAAATTACCTGAAATCTTGGTGGTAGGAGCTTTGACACTATCAGGGTTATTTAGAAAGGTGGAAATTCAGATTGAATTTCAAATTTAAGGTAAAAATAGTCGAATTGCAAATATTCCCTGTCAGCTGTGCTTTCAGTTTGGCTACTCTGGCGTTAAATTTTAAATCACTTTAAATTCTCTTTAACCCCTTAAGGACACATGACGGAAATATTCCGTCAAGAGTCCTCTTTATTCCAGAAGTTGTGTCCTTAAGGAGTTAAATTCTCACTTTAGTAAATAACGAATGTTTAAGTGTAAGGTTCACCCAGCCACAGGCAGCCTGTCTAAAACCAGAAACAAAAGCTGCATAAAACTGATATTACCTGTCAGGAAGAGACTATTCCAACTGGCTTAAAGGACCAATATAGGCACCCAGACCACTTTAGCTCAATTAAGTGGTCTGGGTGCCAGGCCCATCTAGGGTTGACCCTGCAGCTGTAAACATAGCAGTTTCAGAGAAACTGTTATGTTTATATAAGGGTTAATCCAGCCTCTAGTGGCTGTCTCATTGACATTGTCTCATTGACAGCCGCTAGAGGCTCTTCCGCGCTTCTCACTGTGAAAATCACAGTGAGAAGACGCTGCCGTCTATAAGAAAGCATTGAGAAATGCTTTCCTTTGGACTGATTGAATGCACATGTGGCTCTTGCCGCGCATGCGCATTCGGCAGATGACGTCTGAAGAGGGAGGAGAGTCCCCAGCGCCGAGGGAGCCCAGCGCTGGAGAAAGGTAAGTGTTTAACCCCCCTTCAGCCTGGCGGGAGTAGGACCCTGAGGGTGGGGGGGGGGGACCCAAAGAGTTTGTTTTCCTGGCCTATACACAATAAAATGACAGGCTGCCTGCACCATAACTACTTAAGTTAGCTGAAGTGATTACAGTCCCTTTTTGCATACGTAGTTTATTAGATTTTACAAGTATACAAGAAATGACAGGATTTGTTAAACCAATTTTAAACCCATTGAAAAAGTGCAGTTGACAAAGCTGCATTTGGAGACAAAATAAACAAGAAACAAATGAACCCCTAAAAGAGTGAACCAGTGACATGTTTCATATGTCATAACAATAGCATAAGGCAGTACACAGCATAGGCCACAGTCTGGACCTGGAATGGTTCGTAATTCAACTTTTGCGCATGGAGGATGTAAATTTGAACCAGGGCTGCCAGTCTTTATCAAATTTGGCTTCTAAAGATGATTAAGTTTTTTTTTGTTTTTTTTTCAAGAGATTGGGAAATGAGTTTCCAATTTAAGCCTAAGAGTTGCTATGCTGCTAATAATATGTTATAGTCTAATATTTTCAAGTGGCGTGGAAATTCAACAAAGTGTAGCAACAACAAGTAACAGCAGGGAGTGAAAGAGAGAAAACTAGACAGGGAGGTAAATAAATCTGCAACCTCTCGCCAAAATTGTACTAATTGAGGACACAGCCTCCAGGTGTGCAACATGCTTCCCTCACAACTTCAACAAGTAGATGGGATGGAATTATTTATTTTATGTGAGTAGCATAAGTACCATTGGTGTAGAAGTTTACAGTGAGCCTCAATAAAGTTGTAACACTTATTGACACTTTTTAACACGTTAAGGAGGAGACCCAATCCAGTTCCGAAAACTCAGTTCTACATTCCATTGTCCCTCTATTTATAAAAGCAAAGGGTTTGGCTGCAACAGGAACAGCTTTATAACAGACTGAAAGAGTTTTAGGTTTTAGTAGGGTCTTCCAACACCTATTTAATAAAAGCTTAAATGCCATTCCCAAGAAAAAAGCCAGGTTAATGGGAGTAATCGCCTGTAAGCTAAATACTTTTAAACTGTAAGTAGGGAAAAATCCAATTTGAGGACAGGTTATGTTTTGTTTGGATATATGGGAATGGTAATAAGGCAATTTGAGTTATACCTGCCTTTATCTACCCAGTTAGGGACAGCCATGGGGATACATGGATACAATGCTCAAACCCAGAGAGGTTACAAAAACACAGGATTAACACTCAGAATGTAAGTATGGCTTTGGTGAAGGTGTTTGGGGGTCAAAAGGACATCTACTACTAAGGGGAAGGTTTTTTTGGTCACACTCTATGTCTACCCGCTGTAGGGCACCTCTTGGGTAGTGTAGGAAGATCACTGTTTGCAGTATGGCTGCTCTGAAACAAAGATGCACAGTCCTTCTTGAGAGAAGGATTTCTGATAATAATGATATTGGGAGTCTGGCTCTGTGGCTACAGATAAAAGGTATTAAAAATGTTTTGTAGAGATTTGCAGAAAGAAGTAGGGAGTGCGATTGGTAACAAGCAAAAAATATATATTATTCTTGGTAACATCATTTTAATAATATGCTTTATAGCCTTTTTATTTTTACTTGTATACATGTTTACAAAAACATTTTTAAATAACAAAGGAGCCCCAGTAATCTTAACACTTTCAGGACCACTTATAAAGAAAAGATAAAGAAAAATGGTGTTTATATTCCCTGCCCAATAAAGCACGAGAGACTTTCACTTGGACATTTCCTCTTTGCGCTCACAAATAAGCAGTAAGTAGCTTTGTTTAAATAGCGTATGGATAGACTTAGTCAACTTTATACCGAGGTATATAATGTGGGTAGATTTTCCAGTAGAAACTGTAACTTGTATAAATTAGACATAAACTGGTCTGGAAGACCCTCTGCCAATGGTTTCATTTTCAAACAGGTGTTAACTTGCTTTAGACATTTTAAAATCCTGCTGTATAAATGGAACTTTAATCACAGAAAGGAAGCTCCTGGAGGGTCTAGGAGGCCATTAAGAGAGCAGGAGATAAGACATTATATATTAAACAGAATGTACAATTAAGGAAGTGTTTAGGAAAGCTGTACAAGTCACACGCAGATAGGAATGACAAGTGCTCCATAAACAAAATAATGTAACTGATAAATGGCAGATAATCGAGTAAGAAGACTACAGGGCATGATCTATACTCTAAAACTGCTTCATTAAGCTAAAGTTGTTGTCTTATATAGTATTATTTTATTACCCCTAAATCTTGGACAATATGTAATAGAAGTAGGCACAGCAGATATATAGAAGATATATTTGAGCACACATAATAGTTTGAGTGCATCTCTAGTATTACAGTAAAATAGAAGTGTGATAACTGATACAAG